AAAATTAAAAACTCATTTCCTCCTTATAGTTATTCTCCTGTGAAACCTAAATAAACACTCATCATAAGAAATCTAAAAAACCTAAATTATTAAGAAGTAGCAAATATTATCTATTTTAGTTATTATATATCATACAATATTTTTTAAGTTTTAATTAATAATTAATAAAATTTACCATATTTTATCCATAATACTTTTAAGAAATAAATAACTGTTATTTAGGATTTTTTTTTTTTTTTCATATTAACGATTGAATCTGTATTGTTCTGAATGATTGATGTTTATTTGAATTATATTCCTAAAAAATCCTCATCTATTCTGTTTTAATTTTAATTTCAGGTGGAACCCAGAAGCCTACAAGACCTTTTGTGGGGAACGCGGAGTTATTGAAAAGTTCAAAGCCTTCAGTGAAAAGTACAGGGCAAGTACAAAGGTATGATTGATAATCTTTACTTTATGCACTTTCTATCAAAAATAAGAGTTGATGGATCCATGAAATAATAGCAATTACAAATAAATGTTACAAATATTTAATTTCATATGTTTCAAATGATTCTGAAAAACTTTGCAAAGGTATAGCAATCTTGCTGCTTTATCTTTTGATGATGTTGTAATTAGTATATACCATGGAATTTGTGTTTTAACAATTTTAATTATTAACTTGCAGAACCCGTTGGCAACTTTGGAGGAGGTATATATTAGATGTTATGTTGCATTTATACTTTTGAAATTTCTAATTATAGAACTGCTAGTGTTTTAACATTTTCTTAACCTGCAGAACCTTGAAAGTAAAATGATTCAAAGACCGGGAATAAAGGGTGTCACTGCCGTGAATTCAAGTAGCTTTGGAGGTATGTTGAATTCAACTAGCTCTGGGGAAATGGGGATTTTACAATCGTTGTTACAGCAACTTGAACCTTGGCATGGGCCAAGGCATTTTGTCACGCTTTGCCAGGCCACCTGGAGTTGCAACTTTGCTGCCTTAATTTTTGTGGGCTAACTCTTTTGTTTTGAATGTGACAGCAATGGGAACCTCATTTGAGCGAGCAAGGGAATTAAAGAAAAAGAGAGAGGAAGAACTGGATGGATCCCATATGGTCCAAAGGCCTGCAATTGCTTACGGTGCTACTCCAAGTTGTCCCCCAATTAGTGGGTTTATGGATGAGGATGGGCAGAATTACCATCAGTCAATTGCTGCACCGGCTACAGAAATACAAACGAGGGAGGCTGCTAATGATAAGGAGGCCTCACCACGGGCACCACTGCAGGTGGAGCTGAGGAAGTTCTCTACTCTTGCCAAGTTCTTTTTTCATTGAATTATTTCTTTGCTCTTTAATTGATTATTTTCCATCTTCATTAGCAATATGTGAAGCTCAAAGATACTACAAGAAGACCGCAGGAAGGTGACGGTGCAGCTCGGGCTGGAGCTCCAGCTTGGGTTATAGCTCCAGTTCTAGCTCTAGTTCTAGCTGGAATTGCAGCTGCATGTATAGCAGGTCGAGCTGAAGCTACAGGCACGCGTAAAGCTCTAGCTGCAATTGCAGCTGTATGTATAGCTGCAGCTGTATGTCTAGGTATGGTTGTAGCTGTAGTTCCTGTAGTTACAGATTGTGAGGCTTCAGGTCAAGCTGTAGCTAGATTGCCTCTAGCAGTTAAAGCTGAAGCTGAAGATGAAGCTGAGGCTCAAGATGGTCGAGCTAGAGCTGCGGGAGCTGCAGCTGCTAAGGAAAAGGAGAAAGAAGCTGACAACTTGAACAAACCATTGAGGAGGAGAAAGAAGCTGACAACTTTAACTTACAATTGAGGGGGCTAGAGAAGGGGGCTAGAGGAGGGGTCTAGCAAAGCTCAAGCCTGATCACTTGGAATGGACATGGCAACAATGTCCGGATGGTGGTGAGGATACTTGAATTTATCCGTTTTGTATATGTGATTATTAGTTTGCAGATGCAAGATGCCTACGTGCTCCCCGGGAACAATTTCATTGACCCCTGCGTAGGCCAATAATTTGATGTAGTTGATATATTTTCCTTCTGTTTATCTATCGGATACTGAATCTTGGATTTTTGGTGCTGATGGCAGCTTGTTTTTATTTGACATATAACCTGTTGGTGCTTGCTTTGCTTTTATTCCTTTTTTTTTCCTTAAATAGGAACGGAATGAGAACACCATATTAGGAACCGAGTAAATTTTTAAATGGTTAAAACTTTATTTTGGTACATGAATTATTGTAAAGATCTTTGATTTGGTCCTTAAACTTAAAAATTCCTTGATTTGATTTTTATTGTTTATCATTTTTACCTTGATTTGGTCTTGTTAATTTTTCACGTTAATGGACAGTCAAATATAGAAGAGACATTACATGTCACACAAAATTGCTATGTTAGCAAAAGTAAATGACATGATTATTCTAACTCATCTTACCCAAAAAAAAATTTTTTTTTTTGTTCTTCTCTTTCATCTATTCTTTTTTCAATTTCTGCAAACCCTAAAATCTCAGTCAATCTGTAACGTCTCAATCAATCTATTCATTTTAATCAATTTCTACTCTTACTGGATTCATTGTAATCATCATCAATCATCAAACAATAAAACTCACCAAAAAAACAAAATTTTATTTAAAAATTTTTTGTCCATGGATTTTTTCAAACCAAGGTGCTGGGTTCCTTAACCTAAGCATGCTGGGTTCAAAAGAACCCAACACCTGAGTCAATCAAACCCAGCAACACCTTTTCTTTTTGCTTCCACTTCCTCACCTTGCCTTTTTCATCAATCAATTCTTCATCTTCATCAATTAATTCGTCATCATCATCAATCAACAAAACCAAAATAAATAAATAAATAAATAAAAACTTTTCTTATTTTTTCCCCATGGGTTCCATTGAACCCAGGCACATTGGGTTCCACTGAACCTAGTGCCTAGGTTCCATCGAACCCAAGCGTGCTAGGTTCCACCGAACCCAACTGTTAGGTTC